GAAATAATGACAGGAAGAATAATCAGACCGTACTTGTTCTTTAAATAGAAGCTTTCGAAATTCTACAACGCCTCGTTGACGCCATTCATCTATTGCTTGTGTCATTTCTCCTTCTTTTTGTCGATTTTCTAATTCACGTTGATAATTTATGGATACTTTACAATAAGAAAATCTTAATTAATTAATTATTAACGTAATAAATCAATGAACTTACATGCTTCTGTTATAAGAAAACATTTACTTTGAGGAGCTCGTGCTCGTCCACGACTTTGAACAGTACCTATTTCATTTGATACAAATTCATAACGAATTACATAAGAACATTCAGCAACATCTAATCCTTCTTGAGCAACATCTACAAATACAAATTGAGATATTTTATATTTATTCTGAGAGAATTTTTCATTAATTAACCAGTTGCAACGAGTAAATTTTTTGTTCCTATAAAAAAAAAAAAAGAAGCAATACATTAATAGAGAATATGATTTCATATGTGAAATATAATTTACCTTTTCGAAATTCATTAAGAACTGTTGCTTGTTGACTACCTGGTAGTGAAAGATCTTCGGCTGAGCCTTGGCCAGTTAAATATCCTACGGATATTTTACGTTTGATTAATTCTGGATTTTTATTAAGAAATGCTTCAAGTGAAACTGCATGAAATTTTGTACGTACAAGTATTAAACCTAGAAGATACAATTGCTAATTCATCATTTTTTCATAAGTTGAAACTGAGAAATTTACAAAAAAAAAAAAAAGAAGAAAACAATAGTTTGATTGTGTATCTCATCACTGATATGAAAATCATCAAATATCTATTGGGGATCTATATCAGCGATCTTTTTTTTTTGTACTGTAGGTGTGATTCCAGAATGTCGCTGATAGCTTCAATCATCTAAATGAAGTTCCCCGAAAACAGACATTGCCAGATTTCGATTATGTCACTTTCGGCGAAGTGCATACAGACTGTTTAATCCGATGATATATGTAGTACTCAATTGACACATAGGTTTTGTACATTTTTTATGTAGTTCTTAAGTCAAATGTTGATCTTGAAAGGTATGCTTTTGTGCAACGATAAGTTTTTTTAAAATCTTATTGGTTCTATCATGTAGGATTTTTAAGAAGTCTATGTTAGAATTCGAAATAGTATAAATGCTTCTCGTAAAGATCGTTTATTTTTTCAGAATGAGAGAGCGCAAAAATTTTCGTCTCATTTTTGATCGTTTAGATAAACTGAACGTGTAAAAAAATAGTTTTACAATATTACCTCGACAATGAGATGAATGCAAACAAATAATCATTTCAATCAGTTTTTTTAATTTAGCTTTGATTGGAACTGAACGTGATATTTGTATTGCAACCAATTCATGAAATTCTTCTAATTTTTGTTGACAAAATTTATCAAGTGTTGTAGGTATACTGGGTTTGGATTCTTGTAAAGCTTCTATAAGCCATTTTATGCATTCATCAAGTGGTAAATCATCATAATATTGAAGAAAACGCTAAAATAAACATATTTAAATTTTAATAATAAAAGAAAAAGAAACTAATGATTTTTTCATATTTACATGATACTTTAGTAGATAATCACAACCAATAATTGCATCACGATCATTTCTTTTACATGCATTTTGATGTTCTGTAACAAGAAAATTTTCTAATTTTTGATTATCCATCGTAGATATATCATAAGCAAGACGACTAGCAATTGATTTCATAACATTATCTTTAAGATTCATTATAATTGGATCATATTCTTCTTTAGGTATAGTTAATATAGTATCACTTAATGGTGTATTTGTTGAATTACGAACTTCATCTTCTTCAGCACCTCGTTCAACAGCATATATTTCAAAACAATCGAGATTAGCACATAAATGAACAAGATGATCAAATGCATTTTTTTTATTTGTTCCAACACTTGCTGTTCTAAAGGAAAAAAAAAATCAAAGATAAAAATTTAATAAATAAAAAAGAAAAAACACATTTGTTTTATTTTTACAAAGCAATTATTTGTGGTATATTACAACCGGATAATTTTAAACGATGATATTGACGCATAAGAGAATTTATTGGATGATTATCATAACAATGATGACATTCTTAAAAATAGAATGAAAATAAATTTCTTTTTTCGCATCTTCATGTTTAGTTTTTTTTTTTGTGTTTTTAGTTTTACCATCAATGATAATTAAATCAAACTTAGTTAAATCAGCATGTTTTGCTTCAACAAAATTAGCAAATTTTTGTACTGTGAAAAAGAAAACATCGAATTGTTGATACAGATCTTTAAATCTAAACAATAGCAAATAGATTGCATTGTATATATTTCTTTGTTTACCGTTCTCCAGCTTGATTTTCAATTGATTTAAGTATTGAATCAGGTTGATCGATAAAAACTTGTCTAAATGCTGTACATTGTTGAGCAACTAAAGCTTTTATTGGAACAAGAAAAACAGCTTTAAATCGTCTTATTGCATCCAATGGAGTTGCAGATGCAGATGCACTATTAAGTTTTTGAAGTGAGAGAATATGCAAGAATTTAGCAACAATTCCAGCGATCTAACAAAAAACAAAAATTTATTAATGCATTTTTAGATTTATTAACAGAATACTTGAGTAATAACATTTCAGTATCTACATGTATTGATTCGTTTTAACGCTAGATGTAACAATTTATTGTTTGACGATACTTTGGTCTAGACATGCACGTATAGAATAATGGTGAAGATGATGATCGTATATTTCAAGAAAATCGAACTTGAAAATTTTGATAAATCTCCTATAGGTTCAGATTCCTGAATCATGAAAACCTTTCGACTATTTTTTATAAAATTCAGCTATTTTTTTGAAATGGTCTCCTCGACCGAAAGGATAGAAATCAATCGAAGATCATCATAGCTTTATCACGTGTTCACGATCTTCACCGTTTAGACAAATATAAAGCTGTACATAAGACCAGTACATCGTCATCGGCGCATCTCTACTATGAATGAAAATTATCTTTATTCCTTCTGTTTATCCAATCTCGCTAATGATCTGCAATTGTTCATTGAATACTGTGCAGACTTTTTGGTCAACCACGTACCATAAACGCTAATATGCTAAGGACTAAAGAAAAATTGTTTCGAAGCTTTTCATGTGGTATTTTTCATCTGGTGATATAAAATAATATCTATGTCTTATTTTAGTTGACTTTTCGTAATAAATAGATATGATTTCTTCACAAGAAGTGATAGGTTTGATGTTTTTTTTATTTGAAAGGATGTTGATGATTTATTTTTAGTTGTCTTGAAAATATCAAGAAATTGTATTATCTTTACTTGAAAGATTTTTCCATTAGTTAGATATTATTGCCGATAGGAAAAACTAAATGAAATACAAGATTCGATTTTCAAATAGATTTCATATTTATTGATTTATTTCTATCAAGGACTAATTGTCTTTTTAAACTTACATGCGTCTAATGAAAATTTCACACAAAACTATTATTCATGTAATTAGAAGATGATCTAACATCTGCTAATCAATAAAGAATTTCCGATAGTCAGTGACAAGCAGCGCAGAAGTGAGCATGAAATGTCAAGATGAAAAATTTCTATTATAGACAAAATTTAAGTTCTGAATTCGTGGGTAACTTTTCTTGACTATCATCAATGAATTCAGTATGTTAGGAGTCTATTCATTTAATAGTAGAAAGTATTATTAGGCCAATATTGAAAGCTAAAATTTCGATATCGACTAGAAATTTATCAATAAAACAGTCGGAAACATACACACAAGGAGCAATATGGCAAAACTATGTCAATAAGTTAACTGACTACACACCTAACTTCGTTACATCAGTAAGTATTTGTAATAAAATGATAGTAGAATACCTAATTGGATAACCTGTTTAGAGTATATTACGTAATGTGTATACATTTATATCGATCTTTCGCGTTAAAATGATTGAGAAATTTTCATTCTATATATGAAGTTCTTTACTATCATGTTTAAATAACGAAAATAAAAGATTCTTACAAATGTTTTTCCAGCACCAGTTTGAAGACAAATAAGTGAATTGTTTCCTTTTAATCCAGCTGTTGTCATTCGTATTTGATAAGATCGAGGAATAAAATCTAGACGAAGTAATTGTTGAACACGTTTTGGTTTACTATTAATAATATCATCTTCAGTAAATTTTTCATGTTTAGACCAATCATAAATTTCTGGTTCTAACCAAATTGATTTTTTCTCTATATTAATTATTGATCCATTATTTTCAATAGATATAGTTGTTTGATTTTCTTTTAATATTGCATTATCAAGATAATCTCTTGCTGTTTGAATAAAATCTTCAAATTCTTTTTCATTTAAATAATTTTTCATTGATTCAAGAATTTCAATTTCTTCGTTAGAAAAATCTGAATTTTTATTTGATTGTTGTTTAATTTGACGATGTGTTTTTATATGTTTATCATAACATGAATCACATTGATCATTTGAACATTGTGAACATTGTTTAACTGTTGTACATTGTTTACATGTTTCACATTGATTAACATCAATAAATGTTGATAAAAGACGTGATATATAATGATTTGGTTGTAAATATGTATAATTTTCAATTTGATAATCACCAAGAGATTGATTACATGTTGGACAACGAGCATTTGTACGATGATTTCGAAGAATAGCTTAATAATAAAAAAAAAAACGAAAAAATTCTAAACTCATCAATAAATTACTTAAATATATTTATTTTACTTTCAAGACAATCTCGACAAATGACATGTCTACATTTTAATTCAAGAGGATTTTTTAAACGTCGTTCACACTTTTGACAGCGTATACTTTGATATATCTGAGATAGATTATCCATCTATAAAAAAAAAACGTGTCTATTGAATAAATGATTTATTTATTTATTTTATTAAAAAAGTGATCTACTGAAAAAGAAAAAAGTGCTGAAATATTTAACATAAATAAAAGAAATAAAATGAATGAAAATGTTTTTATTCAGGTTTTTTTGTTTTAAAATCAAGATATTTTCGATAACCATACATATCATTTTCAATATCTTCTTTACGAATATTTCGTTTATGATAAAATACTTCGGCAACTTCACTTGATAATGGATCATATTTTGATTGAGCTACAGCTCGAACATAATCATCAACAATATAATAGGCAACAAATTTAAATTCACCATCAAGATCACCATGAATTATAACATTTTCTGGATCACGAGTATAACCTGCATAACGTATTGTTGTTTTATTATTTTGCGTTGTCCAATAGATTGGTGTTGTATAGAAATCTGTTTTTAATGGACGTGAGCCACCTCTATTTTGACCAAGGTAATGATGTAAAATTGTATCAGCTAGAAAGAAAAAGCAAGAAAAACATGAATAATTTAAATGAATGTAACGAAAAAAAAAATATAGAAAAATAAACACAAAATGTTTATCATCTTGTTAAATTAATATTCATTTCATTGAATCTCTGCAATATTTAAAGAAGATTAACTTCTTATACAAATCGATTAATAAGTTACAAATATTTTATTCACATTTAGACTCAAACACACGTATGACTTTCAATTCGAGGATTATTATCGAAACCCAGAGAGTTCGACAGAATAATGATTGAATGAAATCAAGCAAATGAAATGAAGAAGAAATGTTTTAAAATCTCGTTTAATTGTAGTGAAATGCAACAGTGATCGTACATCAGTCTTATGTACAGGTTTGCACTGGTCTAAACATGTACTCATAGACTAACGGTGGTCGTATGATTAAACTATAATGGTTTTGGATTGATTTCGATCGGAGAAACTATTTTAAAAAAATAGTTGAATTCTTTAAAAATAGAGTAAAGACTTTCGGAGTATAGAAATTTTCGAGTTTGATTTTCTCGTTCGAGAATGGTTTGTTATGTTGTATAAAATTCAGTTATTTTCTTGAAATAAACTTCCCGCAGTCGAAAAAGTCGTAATGAATCTATGATTATCGTAAGTGTATAGTTTATGTGTATTAAATCAAGCTTCTAATATTTAAACATTTATCTCTGTTAGATTATTTTTAATTTATTAATAATGAGTAATATGAAAAATGGTTTTTCTAAAGTTACTTTCTTTTTATATAGACTCATAAGTAGCATGATCTTCATACTAAAAACTTTATTAGAACTAATAACTAGTCAAAAAACGTTACACGACCGTTTTTTTAAATAAAAACCTACAGCTTCTGTTATGATCCTTCACCTAGATAAGATCTTAACAATAGTAATGGATAATTTCGAATCAGAATAAGATCCGACAACTCTAGAAAATAAAGACCTAATTTCAATCCAAAAATAGCCACTTTTGCAAACGTATAACTGTACACAATTTCCTGAAGTAACTTATTTTTCAAAAAAAAAAAAATACTAATTCATGATCAATAGATTTCCCGCTCTATACAGATAAAACAACAACTTAACTTCGAAAAACCGTTTAAAAAAATTAAATTAACAAAAATTTCAATTTTTATGCCAAATGATCCATTCTTCATCTTCATAGTGAAATGCCTTCGTTCAAATTTCTTCATACTAGTGTTATAATCAGCACTTGCACAACCTATTTCCATTGTTGACTCAATATCAACCCTACTGAACTAGTGCCATGGAATAGACCGGAATTCTCTTTTTCTTTTCCTATTATTTAATATATATAAAAATCAAATCTTACCAGCTTGATGACCACTTGAACATGCCATTTGCCAATGTTGACAATTAACTTCATCTAAATTAAATATTCTTAATGGATATTTACTAATATCTCCGACAGCTAAAACATGATCAACAGATGTTTCAAGACGATCATTAACTTTAATAAATTGATCATCGCTCATTTCAATAGGTGAATCTTTATATAATTCAGTACATGATTCACTACCAACAGCTACAATAACCAAATCACATGGAATTGATTCACCTGTTGCTAATTGTACAAATTTAACGATATTATTTCCACCCTAAATATTAAATGAATTAATATAATTTAAAAAAACAAAAACGAGACAAAAATAAAATAAAACAACGAACCGTTAATTCTGTAACATTTGCTTCAGGATAAAATTTTGCTCCATTATTTTCATGAATTTTTTGTAAAGCTAGAGCAATTTTTTCACCAAAAAGACCTCAAAATATAAGAATAGATTATCTTTATTTTAAAAAATATTATTATTAGTTTTTGTTTTCTTTCATACGAATCATCGGAGCTTTTAATAGCATAACAACTGAAACATTTTTCTTTTCAGCATCTTCTGGTTTGCCATTAGGACCAGCTAAACCTGTTGTTAACCATCCACATAATTCTAATGCAATAAATGAATCACCAATAATAACAATATTTTTTGTTTCATGTGATTTTACTTTATCTATTTAATTTTAAAAAAAAGAAAAATCAGAAACAAAAACAATTATTTTTTTTGTTGTTTTTTTGATGAATACATACTAACAAGATTATTAGCATCTTCCATTGATCTTAAATAAAAAATATTTCGAAGATCACCACCAGGTATTGATGATGGTAATCGTCGTGGTCGTAAACCAGTTGCTAATACTAAATAATCATATTGTTCAGATTTCATTTGTTTACCTAATGTTTGATATGATAAATTTTTTGTATTCCAATTAATAGAAGTAACATTAGTATCAAGCATTAAATCAATTTTAGCTTTTTTAAAATAAGGATGATCACGTAAAAGTAACTCTTGTGGTTTTTTTAATGGTTGCTTTGATAATTGAACCTAGATATTTATTAAATCGTTTTTCTTTTTTATATTTGATTTTTTATAAGTTAAATAACATACACGATCATAAGGCAATGTTCCTTCGCGTGTAAATAGAAGTATACGACCACGAAAACCATTTTGACGAAGCATATCAGCACATGTAAAACCACCTGAAATGGTAGGAAAAAAAAATTATTCAAGACATATAACAGGACATTGTGTTTGAGAATAATTTTGAAGTCATTTTTTCAAAAATTTTTAAAAAGTAAAGTTAAAATGTAAAACTTCCTTTGCTAGCTGTACGACAGAGGATCGTTAGGTGTGAATCGCTAATCGAACTGATATTTTGCCAATAGATAACTAGTAGAAGCCTATAAGGATTCATCTCCATGCGCTATTCTTTCTAAACTATTAGAATTTCACTGAGTTTTTTCTCTCTAAGAAGTTGTGAAAAAATCGAATAAGAAAATTTCAACCGGAGATTTTATCCATAGGTACGACTAGTGAACCTTGGAATGTCCTGCAAACTTCAACTGACAAGGAGACGTTGTTATTAAGATATCAAATATTAAAAATACTGGGTTTTCTTACCCTTCCTTATGATACATAATTGCTATTCGATATTCAATATCTCAAGAGCATCACATTCTAGGACTGAAATTTTCAGAGCGTTCTAAGATCTACGAGATTTACCTATGGGCAAAATTCCAGGTCAAAATTTCGTAATTTACGTTTTTCACAAATATCACGCCAGAGATAAAAATTCCAGTAAAATTGTTATACCTTGGAAAGGACGAGGCATGCGGACGAGGATTCTCGATTAGAAGGATGGAGCCACTCCTCCAAATATCCGACTTTCTGGCAATTTTTTACATCTTCGTGGTAACGTTGAACAGAAACTAGATTTCAAAACGCAATTTGCCTTTCTGTGCAGAAAGTGAAATAAAAATAAGCAGACAATAGTGTTGTGAGGTGAATAGGATTGGGAAAGGAACAGTGTGATCGCAAATCGTTTGTTATGGGAGAGACCGAATCATGATGAATTTCGTTTTTCTCTCCTAAAAACGTATCAACGACCCTGATAGGTACGAAACTTTATAACTTCGTTCGTTAGACAAACAAGGATATAACTAGGCAGTGAACATTAGTTTTCATGGAAGTCTTCAAATATGTTAGTTTTCCTCCAATACAAGGCTATTTCTTCCTTACGGCGTTTTCCATTTCCCATGTTAAGTATTTGTTGATTCAAAAATGTCCAAACAAATAGTGCTATCTCATATTGATTTATAGAATGTCACAAAATACACAAGATAATTCCGAGAGTTCAAAAAATACACATAGCACGAACTACAATGTAATCAAAGGTATCAATGTCATTTAATCATTTTTGTTCTTGATAGATAAGTAAAACTTCGTTTAATCATAATTGAAAATTATCAGAGAAGTTTTACAAGACGTTCGAAATTGTAAAGATAAATATTTGTTTCTTTAACATAATTCGATATTTTAACTTCCTAAAGACTATAACCCGCTGATCTCTAATGCATAAAATTTTTCATTTTGTCAAAGTAATCTTAGAAAATATTTACCAGCTCCAGCACCAATAATAGCAACAACGGGTTTAGACTCTACTTGTAAATCATCAGGTATTTTTGTACGTTCTACTTTTTCAAGATCTTGTTTACGTGCAACCAAAATAACTTGATCATCAACAATTTCAACATTATATTCTATTGAAAGAAAAAAAAAATCAATATGTAGAAGATTTTTAATAAAAAATAAATCAATATAAACATACTTGGTAAATTACCATGACCAGGATGATCTTCAATATCACCAGTATCAACACGATAACATGCACCATGTGCAAAACAACGAAGACGATTATTAATTAAAACACCTATTTATAGTTATTTTCAAACTAGATATTTATATTTAATACAGAGAAAAGTCAATTCAAACCTTTTGCTAATGATAATTTATAATGACAACATTTATTTGAATAAGCATGAAATTTATTATCTTGTTTAATAAGTAAAACATTTGCATTAACAATTGATGTTTTTATTTCGAATTCTTTCATTTGTCCATTTTGTAAATCATTAACTTTACATAATTGATGACGAATTTGTTCATTGGATGATGCAGAAGAATTAAGATCTTGATTACTACCTATAATTGTTGTCACAATTTCTTTAATTGCATCCATTCTTTTTGAAGTAGAATGATATTTCTGAAATTGAAATAATGTAGAACGTACACAATATCGAACAGATAATCTTGATAATAAGAACATCTGCAGTTTAAAAAAGCTATGATAAATTTTTTTCAAAAGTTCAAAATTTTGAATTTACTCGTTAGTGGATGTTACACTGTTTAGTATGGGAGCAATAAAGTTAATGCTTCCTATTATAAAAAAACCAGTACTCCACCTTCTGATATTATAATATCAGAAGATAGAACACTTTTTGATAGTGAGAAACATCAAGTTTTAATGTTTTCACATATTTACTGTGGAGCACCTGTTAAACGAATATCAAACGAACTTTTGAATACTCTTATATAATAAAACTTATGATCAAAATAAAAACAAACTTATGACAATTGAAACTTCTTATTTAAAGAAAAATAAAAAGGGTTTTAGAAGTAGAAATTTTCAATTTACAGAAAATCATTTTACTTAGTAGCAATATTGATACTCATGAATTGAAATAGATCACCTAGTACGTTTTTAGTCTACTACTTAACATCAATCTATAGAGTTGCAGAGTACATTTTCTACCATAAAGGTATGATAAGATGATCTCGTAGCTACATTTTTATGAAATCAAGACCACTACAATTCATGTATGCAAACAGAACCAAAAAAGAAGAACGACGATTAGTTTATTCATGTTAGTGAATCAATAAATAAATCCTAGATGCCGCACCACTGCTATGCGTTTATTTCAATGACAGTCATAAATCTTTATTACAATACACTTAATAAATAAAAAGATTTCACAAGTGAGAATAGATTTTCCAGTATTAATTGCTAATTCAATTCTTTTTCTAGATAATAGCGATTATATATAAGTGAAAATACTAAATAAGTCATATAGTTATAACTAATAATAACAAAATGTCTTTTCTAATTTTTCCCTGGATTTTTAGTCAATAAACTTTTGAAGTGAAAGTGATAATAAAGAAAAAAAAACAAAAGAATTTCGTATCACATACAGGGGTATTTCGAAGCCACCACGAGGATTGTAGAGAAAGGGGGTCGATGACTCAGGAGGAAGATTAGATGATTTTTGCTAAAATTGATCAAGTTTGGGTGAGAAGAGAATTCAGCAGTTTTTTGAAAATTAGTGAGCAAAACAACCGATAAAACGCTAGAAATCCGCTGAAGAAACACAAAAATTTTCCAAGATTGGAATCACCTCCTGATCATACATTATATATAGTTTTCAAATACGATAAAATTATAAAAACAAGTAACATAGAACAATTCTTAAGATCATCAGAGCGACTTTCACTTTGTGTAGTGAAAATCAAGTATAATAAAAAAAAGTCTTCTTATCAAAGTCTTTAATATTTTCTTACTGAAATATTCAAATTAAAGATACTCAGCTGTCATAAACAATAGATACCAACATGAAAACCTTTATATAAATATATATGACAATTGTCGCATTATTTCATAGAATTTTTATATAATAAGATTTTGTTTTCTCATGATGCTTTGATAAAGCACTTTTTTTTTTGCAATCTCTTTTTTTTATTGCCACCATTTATATCGATTGTTGTTTCAGTAACAGCCTCCTTCTATTTATTTACATTCTTTCTTTATTTAATATTCGATCTATCAAAAACCATAGTTACATACATCAGAAAGAAAAAAAAAGAACAAAATTATTAAATCTTAAGTTTTTATATCAAATCTAACAATATACGACTAATTTACTTTTAATAGTATTGACACCGTTTACCACCATTAAGTACATCATATCCATTTATTTCCTATAATGAATGAAAAAAAAAATCATTTTTTTTTTTTGGTGGAAAATTAATTTATTTACAAAACAACATAATTTTTTATTATCATTCGATATTGAATAATGTAATGTATCATTATCAGTATCATCAAATATTCTTGTTGTATCAAATAAATCTTGTTCATTAGTAGATACTGTTGATGTAGTCTATATAAAATAGATAAATGATTAAAATATGAAGATTCTATTTTGTTTTTGATACAAACTTCACTTATTAATCGATTAAATTCATCCAAAAACTTTGATGGATTAATTGAATTAGATGCTAATTGTAATCGTTGATTGATGTTGATAGGTAATGTTGTTGTATAGTTTAGATTAAAATCTAAATATTGAAATACTTAATTGATTAAAACTTAGAAAATTTATATTACCTCTTGCTATATCAGTGATTGGTCGTAAATATTTTTGTAGCTTTTCATAAGGATTTTCATCATCGGAACTTGATGATGATGATTGTACTGAAATATTATATTCATCTTGTTGTTCTGTTGACAATGAGCTATCAAGATTGATTGATCTATTTGAATTTTCATTGCATATATTTGATGATGCTGATAAAATGGACGGACATTCTTTATGTCTTATAAAATATTGTGTCAAACGCCAATCATTTTCAGCTGTAAAAAATAGGAACTATATTCTATCAAAAAAAAAAAAAAACAATGATGTTGTTATTTGATATTTACATGACATCATAGCACGAAAAAGTTCATCAATTGTATTTGGTAATGTATTATCAGATGGTAAAAGTTTTTTTAATAATTGTAATGTATATTTAACTAATCGTGGTTTCATATTAGAACGTAAAATAATATCACCTATTTCATGTATAGCTTGTTGACGTGTCATTTTTGATTCGGCATACAAAGGAATATTGTTTATATTCTATATTAAATATGTATAAATAATTCTTTTAAAAATTTAAAAATAAAGTATTCAAAAATTAAGAAATAAAAAATGAAACCTGAAAGAGAATGTTCGCTAATTACTTTTTTTTATCACTCATCGATTATTAGCACTTCATGGGATACAAGTGACAATGTAAGCACAAAATAAAACAATGTTAATTATCGGTTATTTTGATCGTGCAAAGTGTTGACATGTAGAGGAAGAAAAAAGAATATTCTGCCTTCCAGCTATCTAGCGACAGATTCAATAACCCAATATCTTCCTTACAACTATTACTTACGTTCGCTTCAGCATTAAAAAAGGATGGGTGTAACCTTAATAACTTGAGAATGACTATAGCTGTCGACCTTCGATTTTGAGCGATCAAAAGAGGAAAACTTCGAAAGTCTTTTTATCGGATACTACATAAGAAAAAATTATTTTAAAGTTCATCATCTTCGCAAAAACAATGCATGAAAATGGTATTGTGTTTCGATGTAATTTTGATTTTGATATATGCTTCGGATAGAACGCCTTTAGATTTATAGTTCAAGGTACGATTTCAAGTGATTATCTTTTCATATCTTCATGGACTAAATCGCGCGTCTACTTAGTTAATTTTAAATAGAGTTCTTTTGATCTTTTAGCAAATTTTTGACTTTTTATCAAAATATCTTTAAATGTTTTGCAAAGAATAACTACAGATTACTAACTGTTGCCCTTGTCGAGTTATTGAACTTACATCCATTTCTCTTTAATACTGACGCGGACAGAAGGTTGGTCTGACGCAGTGTTCTGACGTTCAACTGCTTGAGTTCATTATACACACCAACTAACTACAAGTGCATGGACATGCTATCGGACGAATGATCTAAGACAGATAGTCGTCAATAACTTGTCTCGGGTCATTTCATGGCTAATGCTACTTAGGCTTTGCACACAGTCCCTTGTGGATATGTGTCGAACAACATAGCCACTAGCCAGTGAAATGTAAAGAAATTAGATGCTGTCTCGAGTGAAGTAAGAAATCTTGATTTCTCCTAATTGTATCTGGTCCAATTCTCTTGAAATCTTTGTAGGAAAAAATAATTTTTATGATTATTTCAATAAAAAAAATAATTCCATTTTATTTGATTCAGCATCAATCAAATGTATTAGTCTTACATGATTTTGATTATCTATTTGTGATGCTGGAACCTCATTCGTTGCCATACTGTTGATAAATTTCCTTTTTGTTTTTATTTGAAAAATAAATCTACAAAATTTTTTTAAAAAAAAAGAAAAAATAATTCTTTTATTTTTAAAGAAAAAAAAAAGATCGATGAGATTTTATGTCGAAATATAAAAAAAAACCATAGAAAAATATTATTAATTCTCTTCAATAGTTTCATCTGTATCCGGTAGGCATTGTGTCCAGACAATTAGTTCATCAACTTCATCATTTTTTATAAGATTATGTTCTTCTATATGTCGAATATTGTTTTCATAATTTGTTGTTATATCAACACGACTATTAGCTTCAGTAACAACAAGTGGTCGTTGATTACTTTCATTTAAACTCATTTGTGAAACTTGTACAAGTTTACGTCCACGTTCATCATTTGTTAATTTACCATATTTAAGTCTTTCAAATTGAAGTGCTCGATCATCAAGTTGTCGAGCTAAAAATAAAAACAAAATTTTTGTAATTATCAATTTCATATTCCATCATACCAAGTTCATCTGGATTTAAAGCAAGATGTTGAGCTTGTAATTTTGGTTGTAAACTTAAATAATTAAGTAATGAATTTTCTTCATTTGAATTTGCTTTTGATGTTGCTATACCTCTCCATGTACTAAGATAATCTTCAAATGATATTCGTTGATTTAATGATAAATTATTACGTTGTCGTCGTGTACCAATTCCTGGTGTACGTACACGTGCTCGATTAGCTATAAAACAAAAAAATAAAATAATCATTGTTCTTATAATTTTTACCATCTTTTCCTTTGGATACAATAGTATATTGTTGATTATTATTTATTTTTTCTTCATTAATTAAATCCATTAATTGTTGACTTTTTACAATAGAATCATGAATTATAGCTTGATAATCTGTTGGACGATATTTAAGCATACGCATAGCATCAGAATTGATGACAGTTTTTTGATTTGGTGTTATAAATGCATTAGCTAATTCATCAAATAATGAACGTAATGTAAAACGTGAACTCCATTTATCACTTGTTGATAAACTAACTCGACCTGTTATTGGATCAACATTTGGATGATATGGAATATGTATTGGATCAAATTGAAGTATTGGTGGTTGAACATTAAATGTATCATAAAATGAACAAAATATTCGAAACATAGAACCATACCATTGAGAACTTTTTACTGGACGAAGAAATAATGTTAAATCAAAAACATTATCATCAATAATCGGTTCAATATCAATGCCATCCACTGGATTATTATCAAGTAAATATAGATCACGTTTTATCAATAAATAAGCACGAGAATGCATAATATAACTTACACTAAAACACAATAAAATTTACTATCTTCATTGTTTTTTTCTTTTGTTTCAAGCATTACAAACAAAGAACAACACACGTTAAAATAGAAAAAAAAAAGAATTCAAATTTGATTAAAACTATTCGTTGTGTTTGTTGTTTGTTATTCTACTATTTGAAAATGATTTATCTTTAGTTTTCTTTTTTAAAATAAGAATTTGATTATGTACAATAAAACATGATATAATGTCTTGATTGTGTTTTTCCAAATAAATGACAGTCAGAACACAAGAATTTTACTTTAATGAGAATGGCTTGTAAAAATGCCAATCAAAAAATGGCTCCACCTCTGTTTCAACAATCAAACAAACCAATAGATCTATTGATTATGGCTAGTGGAATGACCTGGTACTGTTTGTCGATTATTGTTTAAGAAATGAAGAGAGAAAAATCATGTTTTTTGTCTTTTTCTTTTTTATATATTAGAAGATAGATATTTCTTTATTTTCTATTCAGTTCATCTGTTCTTTTCTCTCAATGATTTGATTGATCGATCTATTTTTCATTTATTCATAAATATTAATATTTTTTCTATTATAGAAATTTACTAATTTATCATCGATTATCTATTTTGTTTCGTCACTTGTCCTGTATATGACAAAGGAAGGAGGGAAGAAGAAAAAAAAGAAACTGATAATGATAACATATTGTATTGCTACAAACGAACAAAAGACAGAGAGAAAGAGAGCAAGAGCGAGAGAGAGGAAGAATCTTCAAATAGAGATCGTTTACCTCTTCTCTATATATATGGACGATATATCAATGTGGCGCGTTTTATGCAAAGTTATTTTTTGCTTTCTTTATGTCTCTTCCTTCATACATCGATCTTATTCTCCTAATGATGTTGTGTGTATGCATATATGTACTACAGGAAACCTCATAAGAAAATAAGAAGAGAAAGAGAACAACGCGACGAGTGAAGGAAAAGATTATAACATGAGCAGACATCTAGACATATAGGTATACAAGTCTATCGTAGTCGTCTAAAGGAGGGAAGCTTTGCATTACGACGCGTCTTACTAGTCTAAGTACACATATAGATCGAACATCTGTCAGTACCAAAGATCATCTTAACTCCTCTCTCTCTCTCTCTCTTCCCATTTTTTTCTTGGAAGAGATGTGTTGTCGATTGGTTTGTTACTCTTTCTCTTGTTTCTTCTCTGTCTCGTTCGTAAACGAGTTATTCGTTAATAACAAATATACGATATAACAAGAGCTGAAAATAGGCTGTTCTAACTATTGTTATCTGATTTATTATTAGAGAAAAAATAATCTTCATTATATTTTTTTCTATATTGTTTTTTTGTTTTCTACATATTAAATTTATTTCGTCTTTTTTTTTGGTGTTTTTTTTTTTTCCTTTTATTTCAATGAGAAATATTAAGGAAAATCAACAAAATATAAGAATATTATTCATATACTTGTTCGTTTTTTTATCATAAGAGTTATTTATCGTCGTTTATTGTAATATTATTCATGGCATTGATCGAAGACATCAATAGATAGAAATAAGAAAAGAGAAAAAAAAAAGAAAAGAACAACAACTACAACTGCTGTTACATGTTTGTTACCGGTCAATCAAATTAGCTTTGTATGTTTCATTTGATATCTTAACCTATTTAACTTGATTATCATGAATACGCCTTTCTGACACTTATTTTGAAAGAGCTTAAAGATTCTTTCTTCTTTTTTTTTTCTGTTTCTTATTTCGAGAAAGACGAACATTAATTTATGTCAATCATTTGTCCGTGCGCTCGAATGAACAAGACAATTAAAACATGTGAATACGATGTTCAACTACTCCTACTACTAAATAATATATACACATACATTCTATACAATATATACATGCATGTACGCACTTCAGGCAACTTCCCACCTGTGCTATTTTTCTTTTCTTTTTTCTCTTTTTGTTCTGTTAACCGTTTGTCGATTTCTATGTCTGATATTTTATTTCATAAAATAGGCACGTAGATATATGCAGTATATAAAATGATTGACACAATATAATGAACAAATTTTAATTGTAGATGTACTCGTCGACTGGCGTTGTCGTTTAAATAATTTACATATATATTTATAAAAGAAAAAAAAAAAAAAACGATGAGTGCGTATTATTATCAAGAAACAAATGGACATAACGGTATGGCATACCAACAACAGCAACAACAACAATCATATGGTGGAGGAGGATATCCACAACAAAATTCAGTTGATGATTATATGGTTCCAGAAGAAGAATGGGAACGTGAAGCTGTACTTGATCCAGCATGGGAACGACAACAAAAAAAAGTCATTGATTTTGTTTTTTATATTTGGAATTTTATTATTTATTTATATGTTTATCATTTTCAGACATTTACTGCTTGGTGTAATTCACATTTACGTAAAGTTGGTACAGCAATTGAAAATATTGACGAAGATTTTCAAAATGGTTTGAAACTTATGCTTTTATTAGAAGTTATTTCAAATGAACAACTTGTTAAACCTGATCGTGGACGAATGAGGTTTATTAAATACGAAGAAAAAAAACCAACAAAGAAAAATTTTTTTTTTTTTTTTTTTTTGTAGATTTCATAAAATTGCAAATGTAAACAAAGCACTTGATTTTATAATGAGTAAAGGTGTTAAATTAATGGTTGGTGCTGAAGGTATAAAATATTTGAAAAATAAACAAAAAACTATTTTTGAATTTTTCTTAGAAATTGTTGATGGAAATTTAAAAATGACATTAGGAATGATCTGGACTATTATTTTACGTTTTGCTATTCAAGATATTTCTGTTGAAGGTAGAAAAGATAAATCAATTGAAAAATTTATAATCTTTATGTGATTATAGAAATGTCGGCTAAGGAAGGTTTATTATTATGGTGTCAACGTAAAACAGCACCATATAAGAATGTTAATGTTCAAAATTTTCATACCAGGTTTAAAATATAAATAAAAACAAAATTATTTTTGTTTTTTATTTTTTACTTGTCTTTTAAAAATAGTTTCAAAGATGGTCTCGCTTTTTGTGCACTTATCCATCGACATCGTCCTGATTTACTTGACTATAACAAATTAACTAAAGTAAGTTTTCTTCAATTTTCATTCGAAATAAATATCTTTGATCAAATCTGAAAAAGAATATTAATGAGGAAACCTTTTCAAATGCCTCCTTAGGATTTCAATGACTTTTTTGCCTATAGATATTACATAGTATTCTACTAAAAACTCGAAAAGTGTTGGGTTCCTATTAAGATTTGACTAAGCTATCATAGAGGTTCCAGGTTTTCACAGAAAATTCTATTTTGGAATTTCGATCTGGAACTTAGTGCATATAGAGAACTCAAATAGGATTAACTTTCATAAAAAAATTTAGAAGTTTTGAATAAAGTCTCTTTTGGATATGAGACTTTCAAGATATAGACCTCTTTTTTCAAAGCTTCACATCAAAATTCGATAGATTAGTCAAATATTAATAGAAACCCAAATCCTTTTTGAGAATTTTTATTAGAACACAATGTAGTATCTATAGGCAAAAGAAAATCATTGAAATCAGAAAGGGAAATCTGAAAAGATTCCCTTGTAAGTGAAGAAGCCCATTGAAGTATAGATGGAATCAATGCGATTAACTCAAAATGGACTAGTGTGTCTAAAATCGATACCGGTACTATTAGCATCCCTGTAGTCGATCAGTTGGTTAAAGGATATGCACCCTGAAGATGACAGATGTTTGGCCTTCATTCATTTTATATATAGAGGTTGCCTGATTTAAGGTCTCTCTAAACAAAAAAGTCGGTATTCGTCAGAAAAATCGAAATTAAGATGACAGTTCGTGGTTTGACCTTTCATAACCGGTATGGTTCTTTTGGCATCTCGTTTTTCGCCAAAACTTTACATGATTTCTGTCATTTTTCGTTTGAAAATATGTTTTTTTTAGAAACAACAGGAAATCTTATTTGTTCTTTCTTTGTTTATATTTTTCCAGAATTCTCTATGGACCTTCATTCTATATTTGCTTGAAAGAGCGCATGATCGAATCCCTTTTTTTTAATTAGCCATTGTTACTATTATATAAAAGAGTACTTTCATAATTACAGTGCCATATTTTTTGAGACATTAAGCTTCTCTCTACTTAAAAATTAAGAATGAAAAAAAAATGGTTCTGCCATACTCTGTATTCTAATATGCGCTTTTCAAACAAAAAGAAACTCTGTATATAGAATGAAGGTTCATAGAGAATTTTCAGTCGATTTGAATATATCTGGTAAAAGATCGATTTTTTGAAGGACATGAAGCTCGACAAATATTGATAATAAATCCAAGAAAACGATAGACCGTACCAGTCGGTATGAAATCCCTATTAAATCGAGCCGGTCGCTGATATCACTGCCATCTAGGCATCAGAATATTAAAACATATACCAGATGCTTGATCTATATATAGATCTCGAATAATTCTTCCATTAATGCAAGGACATATTATGTCCTTCAAATAATTCAAAGATCAAAAAAAAAAAACATAAACAATCTAGAAATACTAAAACTGAAAACATGAAAACAATCAGTGATTTAATAAGCTTTTAAATATATAAATTAAACTATAAAATTAATTGTTAATATCATTTAAAAATCTCTTAGACAATAACAACAACAACAACAATATCTATATAATAATTAACTAATATTCTTTGATAAATAAATAGAATTTTTCTTTTAGGATGATCCATTAACAAATCTTAATCTTGCATTTGATATTGCTGAAAAACATTTGGATATTCCAAAAATGCTTGATGCTGAAGGTAAGTATAATAATGTCTTGAATATTTATTTTCAAAAAATCAACCATAACTAAATAGATATGGTCAATACTGTCAGACCAGATGAAAAATCTGTTATGACTTATGTCAGCGCCTATTATCATGCATTTGCTGGGGTTTATAAGGTTTTTAAAAGAATATTTCATTTGAAGTGAGCATGAATTTTTTGTCTGTCTTACCCATTCCGATTTAAACAAAAAAAAATAATACTTATAATCGATTTTCTGCATGAATTTTGATGTGTATTGTATTTTGTAGAAATCAATAATAGCATAAAAGCTGATGAAAAAGTTGTTATGACATATGTATCATCATATTATCATGCTTTTTCTACAACACAAAAGGTTATTATAATTATGCATGAATTAAAGTTTTGTTGTTTTTAATTGAATTTACTTTAATAATAAAAAAAAAACTAAATTTTTTTTTCTATCATAAATAGGCTGAACAAGCAGCCAGTCGAATATGTAAAGTATTGAGTATTAATCAAGAAAATGAACAAATGATGGCTGAATATGAACGATTAGCATCAGATTTACTTGAATGGATTAAACAAAAACGTCCATGGTTAGAAAATCGTGCTACTGATAATACACTTAGTGGTACACAAGCTAAATTAGGCGATTTTCGAGATTATTGTCGTTCACAAAAACCACCAAAATTATCGCAAAAAGCTAAACTTGAAATAGATTTTAATACACTTCAAACACGTCTTCGTTTATCAAATCGACCTGCATTTACACCAACTGAAGGAAAATTAATTGCTGTAAGATTAATAATCAAAAGAATCTTGTCGACTTTGATGGTTTATCGTGAAATATGATGTCATATGTGTGATTTTATAGAGCAAATTTCCACGTATCGAATGATGTATAAAAAATCAAGTCTTATGAAAATTTTGACGTGCTAAAGATCGATACACTGGTTATAATTCTTAGGCGATATTATAGGTTACTCATACACATTAAGGTCTTTATAATCAATAGTTTTCATCGTTGCTTTTCTCATATCTAAAGTTAGTCTCTTAGGTCTATATTATTTCTTGACTACATGATATTTCTATATATTCAACTCTCTGTCACAGAACAAGCGAGTACCAATAGAAAACTTTGTCAACAATTGCACATTGTAGAGCTCTATATGTTTCATACATAACATCTTTCAGAACAGTAAGGACTCATTGTCAACTGACAAGATTGCTCGCTAGAATAGTCTGTTTTCCTATATGAAAGAGCTGGTATATTGGCGATAGTTAAACAGTATTCAACGATCCTATGAAAAATGTTATATACCAACAGTCAGCATAGCATCCTTGACAAACTGATATAAATAACTTTTTTATAAACGAAAAAAATGTTTTTGATCTTCGACTCCCTCCTGGGGTAGGGTACAAGAATATAGTTGCAAGACAGAGATCTGTTAGTTTTATTGCTTTTCAAATTTTTATCCAGAGCATCTAGGTTTGGTTTTTGTATGAAACTCTACTAGAGTCTATAAAATCTCATGCTCATTTCAAACATAAATTTTTCCATATTCCTGTATCCCTTCCAAGGATCTGCAGGCCAAAAATTTTTTTCCGTGTATGAAGAAAGCATTAATATCAGTTCGACAGGTATGCTGTACTGATTATTGATACATCAAAATATTAAATAGAGCCGTTGAGTATTGCTAAACTAGGGTCAATACACGGGTCTTCACATATAAGAATACAGACTATTTTAGAGGACAATCTTACAAGTTGACAATGACTCGGTGTTATTCTGAAAGATACTGTCTGTAAAACATACAGAGCTCAACGGTGTGAAATTTTCGACAAAGTTTTACGTCAGTACTCACTTGTTCTGTGACAGAGAGTTGAATACACAGAAATATCATGTAGTCAAGAAATAACATAGACCTAAGAAAAGGAACCATTTTTAAGTATGAAGAAAGCAACGATGAAAATTATTGGTTATAGAAAATTGAAGAACACCTATAACTGTATCGAATTGAGTTTAAAAAACAAAATTTACATAACTTTGTAACATCTTAGGAACCATAATACGTATGAGTACCATATAATATACTCCGAGCATTATAATCAGTGTATCGATCCTATTATGGCATTCTGATTCAGGATAAGCCACAAAATCCGATGGAGCTCTTTAGTATTTGTTGAAATCATAAATTAATTTTTTTAGAATATTGTTGATGCTTGGAAAGGTCTTGAATTAGCAGAAAAAGGCTTTGAAGATTGGTTATTACGTGAATTACGTCGGTATGAATCTTATCTTTTCATGTAATCTTCATGTTTTTTTGTTTTCAAAATTTAATATTATAGCCTTGAACGTCTTGATCATTTGGCTAAAAAATTTCAACATAAATGTGACATACATGAAGAATGGTCTCAAGGAAAAACTGATTTATTACAATCGAGTGACTTTAAAAAATGTTCATTGAATGATTTACGTGCATTATCACGTAAACATTTAGCATTTGAAAGTGATCTAGCTGCACATCAAGATCGTGTTGAACAAATAGCTGCTATAGCACAAGAATTAAATGTTCTTGGTTATGATCAAATAACTTCAGTTAATCAACGATGTCAAAAAATTTGTAATGAATGGGATGTATTAGGAGATTTAACACATAAACGACGTGTAGCATTAACTGAAGCTGAAAGAATTGTTGAACGTATTGATAGTTTATTTTTGGAATATGCAAAAAAAGCTGCACCATATTTAAATTGGCTTGATGGTGCTCGAGAAGATTTAGTTGATATGTTTTTTATACATACACTTGATGAAATTTGTGGTAAATGAGAAGAAGAAATACAAAAAGAATATTGATGATTTAAGTAATTAATAAAAATTCTTTTTCTTTTTTAAGGATTAATGGAAGCTCATAATCAATTTAAAGCAACATTAGGTGAAGCTGGTGCTGAATATAAAAATATAATACGTCTTGTTAATGATGCAAGACAAACATGTCTTGATCATGGTCTCGAATTAACACCTAATCCATATACAAATATTCAACCTGATGTAAGTTATAGAATGATTGTGTATTTCTGACATTGTTCTAAGTTTTAAAAAAAGGAAAGAGAAATCATCAACTTCTGATGTATATTTACATACGAAGTGGATGTAGACTAGAGCCTATTAGGTCTAAAATTTTCGGACCCAGACTCGGTCAAAACGTACATTGATACTCCAAATAAAATTTTCTAATCGGAATTCGATAGTCGCTCAGAAGATATGTGATACCTTTTATCGAGTTTTTTCATTCCATGACTAGCTCACACTATACGTTTTTCAGACGACTAGAACCCATTGGATCCAAAATTTTTGAACCCAGAGCAATCTGACAGGGTCTAATGTAGATCAAAGTGTGGTTTTTTTTTTATTTTGGCAGTTTTTAGCACCGTTGTCCGATATTGAATAGATTGAAGAAGCATACAAAAATTGTAGCATTGAATTAAAGCCTTTCGTATCTAAAAAAAAATCGATTTTTCTAAAAAAAAACACTTCTTTTGAGATAAACATATAAGCATTATCCCTGAGGTATCTAGTTTAAAAGTTCATAAAAATGAATTCGAATTTTAAAAGGTTTCATCAGTGGAAAGGCTAATACCTAAATCCATAGGAAAATTATACTCGCAATGGCAATTATCGTCCGCTGTGATACTCCAACGTATAGGTAGCAGGCCATTTGATAAAAACTTTAGATGAACTATTAATTGGTACATAATATAATCATATTTGACGTTCATATTGAAAAGTCCTCCGAAATAGTTTTGTATAAATCGAATTTTAAACAAATTTTTTTTTGATAATGTTCGTTCTCATTAACTGGGTGTTTTTTTTTATTGGATAGATAGATGCATTTCCTTTCAGATGAGATAAAACGATTTTATATTCGAATCTCAATATCAAAGCAATCATAGGTTTTCTAGAAAACATCGCCTACGATTTTGAGTTCACAAAAAACAAATCAGATAAAAATTAAGAAAAATCTTTTCCGTGATCCGAAGCGATAAAGCATTTTCCTTCAAATGAAAATAACCCGCTAATTATAGCTTGAACCGTATTGAAAAAAACTTTTGCACATATGATAGCTGTATTTTACACTATGGTCTTTGGAAATATCCTGAATCATAAGGTTTTTGTTACTGGTGCATTTTCACTAGTCGAACATCTTCAGAACATTTCATGGAAATCCTCTGCATTGCATCAAAAATTGATTTTGGAGCAGGGAAAGGTCTTAACACCCTGCTTAGAGATATGTACGATTGGAATCAAAAACATTTTGTCCCACACATCTCTAATCCTGACCTAATCAGTTGATTCTACGACGAATTCTAATCTAATGGGATAGATTCATGTTGCTATTAAAATTGTGATTGAAAATAATGTCGTCTTTTTTTTTAAATCTATCAAGTCACTTATGATTATTGAAGCTATTTCTTCTAACGAAAAAAATTTATTCCGTAGTTTATTTTAATTAATAAATCGATAAATATTCTTTTATTTCAGGAAATTACAACTAAATGGAATGAAGTTCAAACTCTTGTTCCTCAACGTGATCAAGATTTACAAACAGAATATTTAAAACAACAACAAAATGAACGTTTTCGTCTTCAATTTGCTCAAAAAGCAAATGTTGTTGGTCCATGGATTGAACGTCAACATGAACATCTTCAACAATTAACAATACAAGTTGTTGGTACATTAGAACAACATCAAAAAAAACTTGAAGCAATGGAAACAAATGTTGTTCAATATCGTCCACATATAGATGAACTTGAAAAATATAATCAACAAATTCAAGAATGTATGATTTTTGAAAATCGTCATACACCATATACAATGGAAGTTATACGTGTTGCATGGGAACAATTAAATACACAATTAACAAGACAAATAGCTGAAATTAAAAATCAAATATATACATTAGAAAAGAAAGGCATTAGTGAAGAACAAATGAATGATTTTCGTGCAGCTTTTGCACATTTTGATAAGAGTCGTTCTCGTATGTTTTTTTTTTTCTTAATTAAATTATTTAAACTTCTCTTCTAATCATTTTGTTTGTTTTTTTTTGTAATAATAGGACGACTTGATCCAAAAGAATTTCGTTCATGTTTAATAGCATGTGGTTATAATATTCGTGAAGATCGACAAGGTGATGTTGATTTTCAACGTATAATGGCAAATGTTGATCCAACACAAACAGGTTTTGTTACATTTGAATTATTTCTTGATTTTATGACACGTGAATGTTCGGAAGAAGATAGTGTTGATCAATTAACACTTGCATTTAAAACATTATCTGGAGATAAAGTAATATTTGATTAATCAACAAAACAAAAAAAAAATTTCCTTTTTGTTTTTGTTTTCTTCTTAGCCTTATATTACAGCAGAAATACTTCAACGAGAATTACCACCTGATCAAGCTGAATGGTGTATGCGAAGAATGAAATCTTATGCAGGTGTTGATAGTGTAGCTGGTGCATATGATTATAAAACATTTTCATCTGCACTTTATGGAGAATCGGACCTTTAATAACTCTTAATCTATTTTCTATCAATTTTTTTTTATTTTTCTTTCTCTCTCCGTTTACCTCATTAATGAACTTAGGGTTCTTCTATGATGTTCAAAGTAAAAAAACAAAAAAACAAAAAAACAAATAAAAATTAACACAATCAAAAGTAGATTATCTTATCCTCTTTTTTGTTTCTTTCTCTCTCTTGTTTTGTTCATTTTTTTTTTTCTAATGTCCGTTTGTACTTCACTATGCACCTAATGTTGTGTGGTTTAATTTCACATATGTAAACCCAAATACTCATACATAATAGCAAATGAAATGAATTCAAAACAAAATGTCTAAATTTGCTAATTTTTACTTTTCCTATACACATAGACATCTCGTTCTTTGTCTCTCTTTTTTTTTTTTGTCTTGTCGTTTTTGTACTAAATATGATTGGGAAAAGGAAAACCTTTACTCTGTTCGCTCTCTCTTTCTCTTTTCTTTTTGTCCTTATTGATCAATGTACTTTCTTTTTTTTTTCTTGTTTATGTTTGATCAACATTGATGTGCTTGTTTGAAATGAAAGAAAACAAACAAACAACTTTTTATTTCATTATTGGTTTTCTTATTATGATAACGATATTTGATTGAATCAATATGATAATTGTTTGAAGATGGAAACTGTAATCTACCGTTTGAATTCATATTAAACCTACAAGGAGGCTTCGATACGACTAGAATAAGCTTAAAAATATTCGTGCTCATGGATCTCTAGAGTTGAATTATGATCGTTTCACCGAGTTTTCGAACCATTTTTATATACTTACTGAAAAATAAAATAATAGAATTTCAATCTGAAATTCAGGTCGAAATTTTGTTATTTAATTTTCCAGTAAATACTTAAAAATAGACCGAAAATTCAGTAAAATAGTCATAAATAGTGTCCAGAGGCACGAACAACTTTTAAGGTATTTCTAATTTTATTGAAATCTCCTTGTGAATCCAATATGAGTTCAAACGATGAGTTAAAGTTATGGTAGTTCGCTGGTCACTATGAAAAATTTATATCGAAAACAGAATAGTGTTAGAAAGAAACCATTTCTTATATTATTCACGAGAAATGAATAAAAAATGAACTAAGTTGTCATAAAGGATGCTTTTTTTTACATCTGTGATCAAGAAGTTTTTAAAAATTGTTCTGCAAATAGATTATACGTGTAATAATATTTGCCAATCTTACAAATATCAGAATAATCAGCTTACGTAAGTAAATAAAAGGAAAAAAAACAGATTTTTTCACTTTGTTGGAAAAATATCGTTTTCGAACTTATAAATCTAAGCTAAAAATTAATAAAAAGAAGTTAAATTTTCTCTCGAACTGGTAGCTTATTAAAGGCTTTACATCATCTCGATTCGATACTTTATTAATCCAAATACATAGTTTCTATGTACGGGTCAAAAACGTCTCGACAGAGGTAAAAGGTTAAAAACAAAAAAAAAACACGACGAAATCATGACGATATTAACAATCCTTATTTGCATACGTATATAATTGTATCGTAAAGTAAATATGCACATACTAGCACTTGTTTTCTATGCATCACTAAATTTCTTATAAATACTTATTGCCATACAAAAATATGATGCCTTTTTTTTTTCTTTTTTGCAATAATCTGAATTTATTCGTCGTCTCATTTTATTCCAACTTAGTCAAATAGAATAATCATGAATAATACGACGTTAATATCCTTACAAGAAAATATACAAATGAAATTAACAGATACATATGATACTTCTGGTGCTATTATATTTATTGTTGGTGTTCTTGTTTGGTATTCATTAGGTGTTGTATGTTTATTGAGAATGCAAACAATATCATCTTCTGTTGTTATTGAAAATTCATCAAAACATTCGACTAAATTATTTAATAGAAGTTTTCGTGAAAAAAGAGATAGAAAAATAATATTAGGTAGGAGAAAGAAAAAAAAACAAGATATATTAATTAAACAAATTAAACAAAAAAAATATTTCTTTAGAAGAATTAGTTGATAAAGAAAATCGTGATAAATTATGGGATATTTATTTTGGTACATCAGACGATATGAATAATAAAATTATTCATAAAGAACCATTTCGTATACGTAATATTCAGCGACGATTAGAAATGATCGATAAAGATAATCAAGATGATAATGAAAGAATTCAATTTTCACAGGGTCATAAAGATCCTGATTCGAAATATTTCTCGTTAAGTCGTAATAAATCTTCATCCGATCGTAGATTATATGTTAAACATCATTCATTAGTAGATCGTCAAACACTTGAAGAATGGGAAAAGAATGTTGATAGTGTAAAAATATCTGAAAATTATTCATTAACTATTCCAAGATTATTTACACGACGACATTCACGACGATAACAACATTTTAACGAAAACTAGAAATTTTTACGAAAAAAAACGATCGGTTTCATAATTATTATTTAATGAATATTTTTAAAATTAATTTTCAATCTAATGAAATCAATTTTTTTTCTTCAATGATTTATTATTATAAAATAAACAAACTGTTAAACAGACATTTATTTAAATTTATGAATAAAATACACTCCTGGACAAAAGTAACCGCCCCCCTTGAACTGGTATCATT